CTGCAGGGCGGCCCCGGCCGCGAAGCTCCGAGAACTACTGCGAGGGCTCTCGGCGCGCGCTCTGGCAGCCCGCCCCGCGGTGGATCCGGTGCCACAGGGAGGGGCGCGGGAAGTGGACTAGGGGAACGACGAACGACACAGACATAACAACTCGGAGGTCCGCGCGGGTTTCTCGGATCCGGGCTGGGCCCCTGGCGGCAGCGCCGATCCGAGAAATCCGCGCGGACCTCCAAGTGTTCTTTACGTTGATGTCATCCTTCCTTCCCCGATGGACGGCTTGCGGCCGCTCCCGGATGTGGCGCATTGGACCGCAGATCTGGTGACCTCGCTGCTGCAGGCCATGCCGGGACGCCTCGAGCAACTCTTCGAGGAGGTGGGGGTGCGCGGGGCATGGCCGCAAGAACTCGTCGAGCCAGGGGCCAGAGGGGCAGTGATTGCCGAAGCCGGGCGGCGGCGACGGGCCCCTGGGAGGGGTGGCCCATGTGGCTTACTTCTCCCTGTCCTCCACCGCCTGTGGACTGCCTGCCGCGCAGGCCCGTTTGCCTTGTGGCGGTGCAGCTGGGAGGAGAGAGGCGTGGCGGCAGGGAGGAGCTCGCTTGGGAGCTGGCCACCTTGGAACTGGAGTTAGGTCAGGCGTGTCCCCCTACGCACAGGCTGATTTTGGACGAACAATTCAACATACTTTAAACCATGCCCCAAAATGGTCAAAAACTATTCGAAGAATCGTCCTCGTACTATTTTTTGATTATTTGAAGCATTTTCTTCCAGTAGAGGGACGGGACCGACTGAAAAACTGAAGGTGGCTGACGCCTTGTCGGAAGCGGTCGCTAGGGCCGCGCTGGACTGGCGAAAAGCGCGCGACCAGGTCGACCTCCAGATGCTCCCCGTCCTCCTGACGCGCGCAGGGGTCCCCGACCGGATCTCCAAGCCAGCGCTGGCAGCGTACATCTACAGACAAGGCCCGCACCTTCTAAGAAGCAGCGGCCCCCAAAGGGACCCAAAAGAGAGAACACAAACAGAAAATCCGAGCCGTCCGCCACAAGGAGCCCCCAGGAGGCCCAACGAGGCGCCCAGGAAGCCCCTAAGAGGCCCTAAGAGGCCCCAAAGAGGCCCCAAGAGGCCCCCAAGTGGCCCAAAAGAGGCCCCAAGCAGCCCCCAAACGGCCCCGAAACGGTCCCCAAGAGGCTTCGAAACTGCTTCCAAGAGGCCCCCGAGAAGCCTCCCACGAGACCCCAACGAACATCCAACAAGCTTCACACCCACAACCCAGGCACGGTGGCGGAATGGGCCGAAAGCTATTCGATCCGCCGCCCCCTGTGCTTGTCACAGGGGTGCCCGGCGTGCTAGGTTCTTTTCCAGACGAACTCCCCCTGAAGCTCTGGCCCAGCCCGCCGGTAACCCGGAAGGGCGCACAAGGCACTTAAATGATTTCAACGTCCACAAACAAATGTTCGGATCAATGCCTGTCCCGCTCCAAGATGACCCTAGCGGCCTCCAAGACGGCTCAGATGGCCCGAGATGGCCTCCAAGCTCGCCCAATATGGTCCAAGAAGGCCTCCCCGACGGCCCAGGAGGGTCCAAGATGCCTTCAAGTCGGCCCAAGAAGCCTCCAAGACGGCCCAAGACGACTCCAAGACAGCCCAAGAGGCCTCCCTGAGGCCCTCCAGGAAGGCCCGAAGAGGCCAACATCATTGATTTCCTATAGGTTTTTGAACGTTTTTCGTCTGTCATATTTTCAACTTTCCAACGGCCCTAGACGACCCCAGGGGCCCCAAGATCGCCTCAAGATGGCCCTTACGGCCTCCAAGACGGCCCCAGAAGTCCTCAAGACGGTCCAAAGAGCGCTCTAAGACTGCCTAGAGGCCTCCAAGACGCCCAAGATGGTCTCCAAGACGGCCCTGAAGCGCCCCCAGAGCGGCCAAGAGGAACCCCCAAGACGGCTTCCGACGGCGTCAGACGGGCCAGGAACGCCCTGAGACAGCCAGAGAGGCTCGCAAGAAGTCTCCAAAGACTCCCAAGAGGCCCAAGGATACCACCAAGAAGCCTCCAAGAGTCCCCCAGGACACTCCTAGGGGGCCACAAAAGTGGCCCAGGAGGCTCCCAAGCGGTTTCCTCCTCCTCCTCCTCCTCCTCCTCCTCCTCCTCCTCCTCCTTTCTCCTCCTCCCTTGTTTTCCTCCTCCTCCTCCTCCCCCACGTGTTGACCGAAGCGTTTCCACCACGGCTGGGGAAACGCATGGCCCAATGTCTTGGGACCAAACTTTGCTCAAACGTTTGGCCACATAGGCGTATCCTAGAAAGGCAGGGGGCGGCGGTGATTCGCCGCAGGCGTCTGAGATCCGCCGCCCCCTGTGCTTGTCACAGGAATGCTGGCGGGCTGGACGCTACCGTTTTGGGTTTTGGTTCTTTTCCAGACGAACTCCCCCTGGAGCTCCGGCCCAGCCCGCCGGCTACCCGGAAGGGCGCACAATGCCCGGAAACGATCTTAACGTCCACAAGCAAATCTTCAAGTCAATGCCAATGCCTTTCCCGCTCCAAGATGCCCCTCGACGGCCTCCGAGACGGCTCAGATGGCCCGAGATGGCCTCCAAGCTCGCCCAATATGGTCCAAGAAGGCCTCCCCGATGGCCAAGGAGGGTCCAAGATGCCTCCAAGTCGGCCCAAGAAGCCTCCAAAAGAGGCCCCCAAGAGGCCTCCAAGACGGCCCAAGAAGCCTCTAAGAGGACCTCCAGGAAGACCCGAAAACGCCCAAATCATTGATTTCCCATAGGTTTTCGAAGGATTTGGGCATTTGCTTCTTTTCGGCCTTCCGACGGTCGGAGACGGCCCGAGAGCCCCGAAAGATCGCCCCACAATTGCCCAAGAGGCCTCCAAGATGGCCCCGGAACGGCCCAAGACCGCCCCAGGAGGGCCTCAAGACGGCCCAAGAGGCTTCCAAGACGCTCAAGATGGCCTCCAAGACGGCCCTGGAGCACCCCAAGAAGAAGGCCCCCAGTCGGCCCAGATAGGCTCCCAAGACAGCTTCCGACGGCGTCAGTTGGGCAAGGAGCCCACCAAGACGGCCCAAGACGCCCAAGAGGCCCAAGAGGCCCCCAAGAGGTCCCCAAGACGGCCCAAGACGCCCAAGAGGCCCAAGAGGCCCCCAAGAGATGACCTAAGACGGCCCAAGAGGCCCCCAAGAGGTCTCCAAGACGGTCCAAGATGCCTCCAAGAGGGCCTCCAGAAAGGCCCGAAGAAACCCAAGTCCATGATTATCCTTACGTTTCGGGTGAATTTCGGCATGTACTTCTTTTCGGCCTTCCGACGGCCCGAGACGGCCCAAGAGCCCCGAAAGATCGCCCAAGAGGCCTCCAGGATAGCCCCCGAACGGCCCAAGAGGCCCCCAAGACGGCCCCAAGATGGCCCCCAGACAGCCCAAGAGCCTCGAAGACGCCCAATATGGCCTCCAAGACAGCCCTGGAGCACCTCAGAAAAGGGTTTCAAGAGGGCCCAGAGAGGCCCCCAAGACGGCCTCCGACGGCGGCAGACGGGCCATGAATGCTCTGAGACTGCCAACAAAAAGCCCCCGAGAAGCTCCCGAAGGCCCCCGAGAGGCCCAAGGAGGCCCCCAAGATGCCTCCCAGAGGCCCCGGAAGCGCCAGGAGGCCCCAAGAGTGCCCCCGGGGGCTCCCAAGGTGCCCCCTCCATTCCTTTTCCTTGCAACGAATTTCTCCCTGTCGCACCCCGGAGCCAGTTTTTAGCGCGGGCTGGGCGCTTCGCCTGAGACTTCCTCACCACTGCCGATCTGAAGCTGAAGAACTGGCGAAGTTTCACAGATGGCGGGCGGGTGGTTCTCAAAATGTGGCTCTCGCCTTAGCGCCGCGCACAATCGTTCTAAAAATGTACAAGAGCTTCGCAGATTGAGGATCACCCGTTTTCAAACTGTGGCTCTCGCCTTAGCGCCGCACACCTTCGTTACCGTCGTTCTAAACATTCACGAGAGTTTCACGGATCCGGCTCCTTTTCAAAATGTAGCTCTCGCCTTAGCGCCGCGCATATTCGTGTTACAAAATTGTAAGAGTTTCACGGGTTCCCACGCCCAAGGTACCAGAAACTGCGTTTTGGAAGGATTCAGGGTTGTGCGGGCGCAGCAGTTACATCGATTCGCGGTGTTGACATTCAAAGAATGGCGTTCTGGCACGATCCGGGATCGTCAAGACGCAACAGTCAGGTTGATCCGTGGCGTTGGAATCCCAAGAACCATGTTTTAGAATGCTTCCGGGTCTTCCAACGATTGTCTTCCAACCAGGCAGATCCCTAAATGGAAATTAACCGTTCTGGGGGCCTATGAAGAGGGAGTTTGGAGGGAGGGTGTATTCCAACATGGTTGATGTCTCTTTTGTTTACACTGGTGCTCGTCCTTCTCCTCTCCTCCTCCTCCTCCTCCTCCTCCTCCTCCTCCTCCTCCTCCTCTCCTCCTCCTCCTCCTCCTCCTCCTCCTCCTCCTCCTCCTCCTCCTCCTCCTCCTCCTCCTCCTCCTCCTCCTCCCACTCCTCCTCCTCCCACTCCTCCTCCTCCTCCTCCTCCTCCTCCTCCTCCTCCTCCTCCTCCTCCTCTTCCTGATCTTCCCCGCCATCCTCACCCAAATGTTCCGCGAGGGGGTTCCACGACGGTTGGGGGAACGCATGGTCCGATAGCTTGGCAGAGCTCTTGCCGCAACGCGCGGCCACATGGGCGATTTCCATAAGCAGAAGGGCGGCGGCGATTCGCCGCAGGCGTCTTCGATCTAGTAGCCCTACCATCTGCCGGTGAGGAGAGGGGTCCTCCTCCTCCTCCTCCTCCTCCTCCTCCTCCTCCTCCTCCTTTTCCTCCTCCCCTTCCTCCTCCTCCTCCTCCTCCTCCTCCTCCTCCTCCTCCTCCTCCTCCTCCTCCTCCTCCTCCTCCTCGCCTGCCGCCTCACGCGCCCCCTCCCTCCGAGGGGGGGCGGCGGAGGGGGAACACGGTAAAGGGAGCAGGGGCGCACCGCGAGAGCGGTGCTGCGTCCGCCCGGCCGCTCGGCGGCGCGCCTCGCGACGGGGGGGGGCGAAGGTCCGCGAGCGGGGGGGGACAGACGCACGGCCCTCCTCCTCCCTCCTCATCCTCCTCATCCTCCATCCTCCTCTCCTCCTCCTCCTCCTCCTCCTCCTCCTCCTCCTCCTCTCCTCCTCCTCCTCCCCTCCTCCTCCTCCTCTCTCCCAATCCTCCTCTCCTCTCCTCCCCTCCTCCTCCTCCTCCTCCTACCTCTTCCTCCTCTTCCCCCCCCCTCCTCCTTCTCCTCCTCCTCCTCCTCCTCCGCCTCCTCCTCCTCCTCCTCTCCTCCTCCTCCTCCTCTCCCCCCTCATCCTCCTCCTCCTCCTCTTCCTCCTCCTCCGCCTCCTCCTCCTCATCCTCCTCCTCCTCTTCCCCCCTCCTCCAATCCTTTTCCTTAGAGGTAGCTTCCCCCTGTCGCAACCCGAGGCCAGTTTTTAGGGCGGACCCGGCGTTTCGCCTGAGACATCCTCACGATGTATGACCCTGACGCTTAAACATTGGCGAAGGTTTCACACATGGCGGGCGGGTGGTTTTGAACATGCGGCTCTCGCCTTAGCGCCGCGCGCCATCGTTCTTAAAATGTACAAGAGCTTCGCAGATTGAGGGTCACCCGTTTTCACACTGTGGCTCTCGCCTTAGCGCCACACGCATTCGCTCTAAACTTGTATCAAAATGTCACGGATTGAGGTCGGCTCCTTTTCGACATGTGGCTGCACCGCGAACATTCGTTTTAAAACATTGCAAGAGACTCATGGATTGAAGGCGGTTCCCTTGCAAAATGTGGCTCTCGCCTCGGCGCCGCGCACATTCGCTCTAAACACTAGCAAGATTTGCATGGATTGAGGCCCTTTCGTTTTCAAACTGTGGCTCTCGCCTTAGCGCCGCGCACATTCGTGCTCAACAATTGTAGGAAGCTTGCGAATTGAGGGCGGGTCGTTTTCACAATGCGGCTCTCGCCTTAGCGCCGCGCACATTCGTTTTCAACAACTTCAAGAGTTTCACGGATTGAAGGCGGTTCCTTTTCAAATTGTGGCTCTCGCCTTAGCACCGCGCACATTCGTTTTAAAACTTTGCAAGATCTTCACGGATTGAGGATCACCCAGTTTCAACATGTGGCTCTCGCCTAAGCGCCGCGCACACTCGTTTAACAAAAACTGCGAGAGCTTCACGGATTGAGGGCGGGTCGTTTTCAGAGTGTATCTCTCGCTCTAGCGCCGCGCACATTCGTTTTCAAACTCTTCAATACCAGAAACAATGTTTTGGCAAGATTCAGTCCCCAAAGTATCGCTCTGGCACGATTCCGGATCGTCAAGACGCAGCAGTCAGGTTGATACGTGGCGCTGAAGTCCCGAGAGCAATGTATTGGCATGCTCCAGGATCTTCAAATGGTTGTCTTCCAACGAGGCAGTTCCCCCAATGGAAATTAAGCGTTGTAGGGGCCTATGAAGAGGGAGCTTGGAGGGAGGGTTGATTCCAACATCGTTGATGGTTCTTGGGTTTACACTGGTCCTCCTTCTCCCCCCTCCTCCTCCTCCTCCTCCGCCTCCTCCTCCCCCATCCTCCTCCTCCTCCTCCTCCTCCTCCTCCTCCTCCTCCTCCCTCGCAGACCTCCTTTCGCAGTGAAAGAGTCGACGGGAGCGTTTTCTTATTCGGCGTTTCGACACTGGGCGGAAAGGGGGGAGGGTGGGGGTTTGGCTCTGGACCTCTGCTCCATGCGACGGTTTGCAGCAGAGTGTCCTTTATGGGGGAGACCACACCTGCTTGAAACAGGCGCCAACAAACAGCCAAGATCCGCTCCATAGGGGGGATGGGTGCGAGGGCCCGCGCCGATCGGCAAAACAATGAGTAAGAACACGACCACGACACACAGCCTGTTCCGCCATGCTCTGGCCTCTGGGGGGGGGGCCTCGCCAGGCCTGTGGCCCTGCCTGCCTCCTTGCCTTCCTGTTCCCTCCTCCTCCTCCCTCCCTCCCAGCGCTGGAAGAGGAGAGGACAGAGGCGGGCCAGCAAGCAGCCGCAGGGGGAGAGGCGGTCCACGCGTCCCTCTGCAGGCCTCTGGATAGTGCTCCTAGGCGGGCCCTCGAGGAGGAGGAAGAGAAGGAGGAGGAGGAGGAGGAGGAGGAGGAGGAGTAGGAGGAGGAGGAGGAGGAGAGGGAGGAGGAGGAGGAGGAGGAGGAGGAGGAGGAGGAGGAGGAGGAGGAGGAGGAGGAGGAGGAGGAGGAGGAGGAGGAGGAGGAGGAGAGGGAGTGGCTCTGGACCTCCGGGGGCCCACGCCGCGAGAGGGCACGGCGTCGGGGGCCTGGGCCTCCCATCTGGGCCCCCCGCCACCCCCTCGCCCCCTCCGCCTCTCTCTGCCCTGCCCTCCCCCGCCAGTTCCTTCCGCCTGTCGCCCCCCCCCCCCCCTATTCCTCCTCGTGCCTCTTGCCTCCTCTCGCCTCCTCCCTCCTCTCCTCCTCGCCCTCCCAACTTCCTCCCCGCTCCTCGTCCGTGCCCGATTCGTAATGCTACCATAGAAGTCCCGTCTCCTCCTCAACCTTCTCATCAGCAGCAGCATCATCTCCATCTTCATCATCACCATCACCAGCCCTCAGCATCATCACCGTCGTCATCATCCTCCATCCGCCTCTTCCTTCTCTCCCTCCTCTCCAGCAGCTCCTTCTCTATCCTCGTCGTGATGCATTGTCCCTTCTCCTCCCCCTCCAGCTCCTCCTCGCCCGTTGGCGGCGACATCAGCCACGCACCGCCCTGTTCGGAGAGAAACGAGAGGAGAGAGAAAGATAACGACGACGAAGAGGGGGGAGGAGGACACCCAGCGGGTTCCCCAGCCCTGTAGTCAACAACTTGTCAGTACGTGCCTCGAGCTGCGAGTGTCGTGTACCCTCGTCACCAGGCTTGACATGAGATGCCCCGTCCTGGGACCAGGAAGAAAACATGAGGAACACCGAGCCTCCTTCAGAGCAACCAGTTGTTCCGTACGGCGGCGCCCCGGCTGCAATCCTCGAGAGGCGGGCAACATTTGAATGGGCCGAGGTCGGCTAAGCTGATCTCGTGCCTGATGGGTGGCTCAAGAGCGGTTCGCCACAAGCGTGTCGGTGAGCGAAGCCGTGCGTTCGCCCAAGATTGGTGCAGATTAACGCTGTAAGTTGGCTCCACTGGGTCCACCGCAAGACGAAACGTCACCACAGTGCTACAGCATCTCTCCGTTACGCTTGTCGCCAGCCGTGCCGATCCCATGTCGGTCGATAAGGATCCTGGCTGAGCCCGTCACTTGCACCACCGCGGCCAGCATTCCACGAAGCCCCACAAAGTGGTATCAAAAGTTTCCATTCTGAGAGAGGCTTGGGGGTGGGACTGTGCGCCCCCCCGGCCCCCCAACCCACCCACCCACCCCCAACCACCCACGCACACGCAAACGCACACACACAAACGGCACAAGTACACACACACATGAAAACACTGCCTTCCTTCCGACGCACGGAAGGGTCGCAGTCAGCAGTGCTGAACATACCAGGGACGCTGCGTAAAAAAAACAACACATCTACATGCACGGACACGTGCAAGCGACAGGACTCCCAACAAGCGTCGAACGTAGCTGACACGTGAGCAGCAGCCACGCGCGGCGACACCTAACCACACATACGCTTGCCCTACATTGCTGCGCGAAGTGTCCTCAAAGACGTCGCGTCCTTACACGGTGTGCAGCTGGCCCGTATCATGAGGATGCGCGACCAGGATGCAAGGGCCCTGGAGGCCCATGCCGAGGCTTCTCGACTGGGGCGCGGCCGACGAAAGTGGCCAAGGATGGGCCGAGGAGGCAGGGATGCCAGACCCCCGACATCATGATCTTTCATTGAGTCGACCCCCAAAGGTCTCGACCCCCTCCCCGGGCCCGGTTCTTCGTCCCGAGTCGTTTCTTGAGGGTCCCGAGGGCCGGCAAGGGCTCCCCGGGGCTGAAAATAGCCAAACACCTCCCGCCAGGATTTTTTCAGTACCCAAGGGGTCTGGGATGCAAGGGTATCCTCCGGAAGGTTGCCCATCCTTTCTATGCTCGGGTCGGGCGAAAGGGGGGGATAGCAAAGGGGGGGGTGAGAATCAGCTCACGTACCTGATTTTCCCGGCGCCTCCCGGCGCCTCCTGGCGCCGGAGGCGGCTGTGTATCGAGGAATGGGCCCCTCGGTGAGGCCGAAACCAGCTGCATGCACCAAATTTCGTGCCCCCCCCTTTCCCAATCCCCCCCTTTCGTCTGGCCCGATATGCGGGGCTGGCTGCAACGCGGCCCGGCGACCGCCCCAGGGGCGTCGTGCGGTGGCGACCCGTAGGTCGAGGAGCTCGGCGGCGCAGGGCGGGGCGGGGCGGATGCCCGCGCGGGCCCGGGGTAGGGCAGGACGGTGCAGCGCGCAGGGGGTGAGCAACTCTTCTTCTTTTTTCCTGCGCGAGAGGTCGCCACGTGGCTAGGACAAGAGGACAGCAGAAGGGGGAGGGAGAAGAGGAAAGGAGAAGAGGTAAGGATGAGCAACACAAGTACCCCTAACCCTCCGGGCGGGGACCTGCTCCAGATCCCTTCTGAATCGTCCCCCGGGTCAATTTTTTTTGTTTGAGGCGCCTGTTTTGGAACTGGGGGGGTCCGGGTTTATTGGGGCGCGTTCTTTGGATTCGAGCTGAAGGGGTCCGCTTTATCAAGGCGCCCCGTCGAAGACGGGGGTCCGGAATAGTAGGTCGCATTTGGAGGGGGGTCCGGTTCTTGAGGGGGGGGGGGTCGATTAATAAGGGATTTGGAGTAAGTTGGGAGGGCCTAAGACAGCAGGGGTAGGGGTTCTTTTTGCTGCAGATGTGTCAAGCCGAACCGCCCAGATGTATGATCCCTCATGTTCGGTGGCACCGCGTGGAAGCCTCCCATACCATCTCGTCGGCTCTTGCGAATCGACGCTAGTCGACGCTACATCGACGCTAAATTGGCGCGAGTCGATAATGGCTGGCGCTAAATCGACGCTACCTC